ATAACGAGGAGAAAACAATTAATTCAGTGTTGTAGAAAGGAAAGTATAGGATTTAATTCAAGTTGATTATATGAGGTTTAACATCTTCAGGTCTATTTCTCTCTCTCTCTCTCTCTCTCTCTCTCTCTCTCTCTCTCTCTCTCTCTCTCTCTCTCTCTCTCTCTCTCTCTCTCTCTCTCTCTCTCTCTCTCTCTCTCTCTCTCTCTCTCTCTCTCTCTCTCTCTCTCTCTCTCTCTCTCTCTCTCTCTCTCTTAATCGAGATTTATTTACAGATTCCAATTAATGATAAGAATTCTTAGTGCAATGACTGAGTCGTTACACACAGGGCAAATATTATCAGTCACTATCACAACCTTTCCTCAAATCCTGTCAAAATATATGGTGTAGCTGGCAACCTGTGTTCTGGGCATTGTTGTCAAGGAATTCAATGACTTGACAGATTATATTACGGAAAATGATGTCATCGTCGTGATTAATTTTCTGGGAATTTATGTCGATATGGGAATTATTTCCCAGAGGGTTTTAACATTATATATCTAGTCTTTGAATATTTATTATTTTAGGACAATTTTTCTGTCGGAATTTGAACGCGAATTAATGTTGGTAACGATTTGTCACTTTTTAGAGTTACTGAAGCAATGTCGCTAAAGGAATTACTGAACTATGAAACAATGTCGTTATTGGAATTAATATTTCTTGAACTTATTTAAACGTATAAACGTCTGGTGCAGAACGTTTGCGTCGCCGAGGAAATCAAACTCCGTTTTGGGATATGATTCTGTTTTGGGAATGAATCCTCGCTGGTGGGAATCCTGAAATCCAAGCATTTATGAAAGGGATTTAGACTGCAGACTCTGAAACCAAAACCGAGGAATTGGAAAATAACTATCCTGGAGATTGATTGGATAATATTGAAAAGCAACGAGTACAATCATTGGTGACAATGATGGGATGCTGAGAGCTTCAATTAGACCGGTTGATTGTCAGAATTTATATACACCTTGCGTTACCTTATTCCGGGGGGTCAAGGTTCCCGCGGCCCGGTCTCTGACCAGGTCTTCTGACTAAGAGGTAATTTATGGTCTAGATAAGGACCTTTTTTGGTCTCTTCGAAGATCATGACACACATAGAGACCTATTGTCCAGAGTCTGTCTTCGATATTAGTAATGTGGATAGATTAATAACTCGTACATTTAATGGAAGAATATGACTGAATAACGGTTGTTGTTAATAGATTTATTTGTTTACATATATATATATATATATATATATATATATATATATATATATATATATATATATATATAGATATATATATAGATATATATATAGATATATATATAGATATATATATATATATATATATATATATATATATATATAGATATATATATATATATATATATATATATATATATATATATATATATATATATATATATATATATAGATACAGATATATACTCCAACTAGAGTGCTTGCAGCCCTCACACTGAGGCTTTCGTCAACAGCACTGGCAGAATGACTACCTAGAGAGCAGCCGAGAATGTAATGTATAGACTCAACCCCTGTGACCAAGGAGCCAAAGAAGAGAAAGACCCCTGGATCATATAGGACCCCATGTTGTACTCTGGTCGACAGTGGGACCCCCTTCCTCTGGTCGACCATGGGGGCCCTTGGTGTACTCTAGTCTACCATGGGACCCCACAGTGTACTCTGGTCGACCATGAGACCCCATGATGTACTCTCTCTCATTGGCTCTCAATGCGGCTGGGTCTATGTAACTGTCTCAGCTTCTTAACCCAGAGAAGTCTTGACCCAGAGAAGTTTTGACCCAAAGAAGTCTCTAGCTAGTTACTGTACTGTTGACAAAGGCTCCAGTGGTGAGGGTTGAGAGAGCTATAACCAATTATTTCCACTTTCAAATGTGATTTCATTGCCTTCAGTAAATCTGTGAGAAGGTGTGATTTATGCGCTCCTCAGCATACAAGTTTTGTTTGTCTGTCTTGTTGACCAGACCACACACTAGAAGGTGAAGGGACGACGACGTTTCGGTCCGTCCTGGACCATTCTCAAGTCGATTGTGGTCCAGGCCGGACCAAAAACTCGTCGTCCCTTCACCTTCTAGTGTGTGGTCTGGTCAACATACGTTAGCCACGTTATTGTGACTCCTCGCTTGTCTGGCTTCTTGTAATTTTATCAATAAAAATAAACAGCAAAACCCTCTGAAAATTACTTTTTTTTATAACACTTAATGGAGACTTAGAATCTCTTTAGATAACTCGTCCTCAGTCTTGCGGTTTCTAGTGACATCAAATTGGGCGGTTTCCAGAAGCCAGTAAACTTTTATATCATTTTAGCATCGTTATAATCTGGCTGTGGTATAAATACTTCAGCGGAAACTTACTTAAGATGTTACTGATTTGTTTTCTTATCTTGTTTTAAAGTTATCTAATTACAATAAAAATCTGACTAAAAATTTATTTCGTTGTGCCTAGTAAAGTAAATAATTAATTTCCTTGCCAATCAAGAGATTTAAATTTATTGAAATAAACCCATTTTACACAGAGTTATAGTTAATATACAATATATATATTTATTACATAATACCTAAGTATAAAATTTGCATACAATATTTTCCCCGAAATTTTAATTAACCGTCACGGCAGAAATATTTGGGCAATGTTTTCTTTTAGCTGATGGTTATGTTCACCTACAATTAATAGGCATCCAGGAGTTAGACAACTGCAGTGGGTTACACATTGAAAAAGGTCAATATTTGGATCACCATAGGCCTATCATGGTTCTTGTCCCCGGCAATGCTGGATCCGATTTGATACAATTCTCTTGTATCTGTACAAATCAAAGAATTATTTGCATATATTTAACAGACTGATAAGAGGCAATATACAGCTAAATACCTGTGTTGACTAGAGTACTACTACCAAGTGTATTGACTAGAACATTACTACCAAGTATGTTGATCTGATTAGCTACGAGTCTTACGTTCTAAACGACAATAATTACTGTAAGCCGACAACCAATTAACACACTACACTGCAGCGCCAACGGGACAACAGCGGCGGAATTGTCAACATATACGTGAATGCGCTTGCCTAGACTCACACAAAATAGGCTCACAATATCTACCAATTACATATCTTGCAACTAGCAACAAACACTGCAACATGACAGAGCAACACTAGCACTTAAACTAGCACTTAAGGTTCTAGAGGAACTCGAACATCGATGAGAGATACAGACGTTCTGATGGTGGTGGTGGTGGGGGTAGTGGTGTTTCTGATGGTAGTGAAGGGGGATGTAAGGCTGGTAGCTGAAGTGGTATTGATGTTGGTAGGAGGGGGGTAGTTGTTGCTGGGATGGTGGTAGTAGTGGTTGTGTTGGAGGTCGGGGTAGTGGTGGCTGGTAATGTTTTATGAAAATTTATGTCAATGCCAACGTGTTAAAAAGTTTTAAAACTACTTTATGAGTATATAGAGAGTTAATGGGTTAAAGGCTGTATATTAAAACTTATAATGAAATTTTTTAAATATATATGTGTGTGTGTGTGTGTGTGTGTGTGTGTGTGTGTGTGTGTGTGTGTGTGTATGTGTGTGTGTGTATGTGTGTGTGCGTGTGTGTGTGTGTGTGTGTGTGTGTGTGTGTGTGTGTGTGTGTGTGTGTGTACTCACCTATATGTACTCACCTATATGTGTCTGCAGGATCGAGCATTGACTCTTGGATCCCGCCTTTCGAGCATCGGTTGTTTACAGCAATGACTCCTGTCCCATTTCCCTATCATACCTAGTTTTAAAAGTATGAATAGTATTTGCTTCCACAACCTGTTCCCCTGGAACACAACAACCTGTGTGTGTGTGTGCGTGTGTGTGTGGGTGTGTGTGTGTGTGCTTGCGTGTGTGTGTTTAAAGCTTGTGGGTAACTTGCTGGCCTAAACAATGTGTTAGAACATGTTTTAGCAGTCTGTAAGCATCGCTTAATGGCAGGTTTAGAATCTATCGCATCTTTGTGACCTTAAAGTGTAATAGACAACGAATTGATATCTCCTTACACAACGTGTTGATAACGCTGTCTTGATGAAATATTGACAACGTGTTTACAAAAGTTTTTTAAAGTTTTTAAGCTCATCAAACTTGTTAATAAGATGAAAAATCGGCTTATATTTTTTTCTTCAGTGGTAGAAGCCATCGATGCATTATTTTGTATCAGTTCATTCAACCGCTCAATTGGGGAAATAACACTCATGTTGACGATATAGGTCAGCGAGGCATTGTTGAAATTTTCTGCCCATTTTCAGAAACAATGGATGCGTTTAATGGGTATTGTGACCTGGCGTCTTTTTGAAAAGCGAGTGAATAGTGTGGGCGTCTGTGTTGAATGGCCATTGAGAGAGGCTTATTTCCCGACAATGGGACGGGGTGAATTTTTAAAGAGGATATTTGAAGGGATTAAAAAAAATTCTGGACTTGTCTGAAAGGCATGAAATGATTGACATTAAGGCTTTGGAATATATTGACAGGGATGGAAAATGGAGGTGGGAGTATTTTTTTTATAGCGTATTTGTATACCCGGGTGGTGATACAATTATATGAATATATATATAATGTATATATATGTATGATTGGGGAGAGATATTAGCCGTTTTAAAGACGATAGCTAAGATTTCGCCAATGGATCAAACATTCGACGGTAAACGATTCTCTTGTAAGGAGGTGTCGAGATAAGGGGCCACGAATGATTGTTTGACTGACAGTGGATCATTTAAGTCCGCTATAGTGACGAGGATAAGGACAACAGAGCCATCAGGGGAAAAAGTATTCTCTGTAAAAACACAAGTCTCCCACAAACGCCTCCTGTGAACTGTGGACTTAGACCAGCGACCATCTGTTTAGTGTTGAAATCCTAGGCAACAGTGAAACAGATTTACTAAAGCAGTGACACAAAACACAGTTCACTGTGTGTGTAGGCTACACGCCCTTACCATTTCTTAATAGGGGCGAGGCCTGCCAGATCGTCGCGTCTGCCGGATAGCGGAAAAAAGAAAAGGTATTAACAAAAAGATATGTGGCACAATAATGGCATTATTGGTACAAAACAAAACAAAATCACCGTCTGTGTTTGATATACAGTGATAGGGAAATGAAACTTATAACTAAAACATGGAACAACTTGATATTAATCACAGCATTTGAGTCTTATCTCGGGGCTGTGATAGCGTATGTGAGGAATATGTTAAGGATCAATTTTCGAGATTGATATCGTACTTCTGATACCAGTTAGTGTATTGTGATGTAATCCCCAAAGTCAGTGTGTGTAATGTAATCCCCAAAGTCAGTGTGTGTGATGTAATCCCCATTGTCACAGTGAACAGTTGGCTCCCCCCAAATTACGTACACGGGAATCTTTGAGACTCAGATCAGTGGAGGAAGAAAATGCTGATTTATAAATCTCTTAAAATCACTGAGAGATGCAACGCCGTGAGGAGGAAGGGGGAGGGGGAGGGTGTTTCTTAATATCTTCCTCTGACGTTGTGCATTGGCTGATCACTCAAGCAGTCCAGAGTTCGAATCCTTGCTTAAACTGAGGGTAAACTGACGTCTGCCTCGGACAGGCAAAGGTCTATACTCCCCACATTTATTGGGAAGCTATTATTTGTTTATTTTGTATATATAAGCTATTTACGTAGCTTATATATAGAAAAAACATTATCTAATAGATTACTGATCTTTCTGTGTATGACAGTCAAGGCACAGACCCAGAGGCCAGATTCACGAAGCAGTTACGCAAGTTCTTACGAACGTGTACATCTTTCCTCAATCTTTGACGGCTTTGGTTACATTTATTAAACAGTTTACAAGCACGAAAACTTGCCAATCAACTGTTGTTAATGTTATAAACAGCCTCCTGGCGCTTTGGAGCTCATTAACTGTTTAATAATTGTAAACCAAGCTATCAAAGGTTGAGAAAAGATGTACAGGTTCGCAAGTGCTTGCGTAACTGCTTCGTGAATCTGGCCCCAGAGGACCACGATTGACTCGCCACTAACCTCCCTAGTGGTTATCAAGAAGATATCCGGCGAGATATCTAACGTTAAGAATAAATTTCATGATATCAATCTTTTGAGAGACTGAAAGTTATTTTCTTTAAGATACTGAAGATAACAAAGTTCAGTTTCTATGGAACTAACGACCCTTAGATCAACTCAATCTCAACCCTTCAATCTCAACTCTGATTGTACCTGATGTGTGAAGTTAGATAACAGTAGAACTTCCTTCAATCCTAGTAGATAATATCCTTTGACTACATAATCCTGGTAGATAATATCCTTTGACAACGTAATCCTGGTAGATAATATCCTTTGACAACGTAATCCTGGTAGATAATATCCTTTGACAACATAATCCTGGTAGATAATATCCTTTGACAACGTAATCCTGGTAGATAATATCCTTTGACAACATAATCTTGGTAGATAATATCCTTTGGCAACATAATCCTGGTAGATAATATCCTTTGGCAACATAATCCTGGTAGATAATATCCTTTGACAACATAATCCTGGTAGATACTATCCTTAGACAACATAATCCTGGTAGATAATATCCTTTGACATTGTAATCCCTCACTTGTGCTTGATAGAAATCTGTTGCGACCTCTGTGTTGCAGGATGAGTCTATGTTGAACAGTAAATCTGTCTCCGTTGGTATGAACAGTCAACAGTATACTTACAACCGTTGGTGACAGCAGTTAACAGTTAACTAGCCACCGATGGTGTAACCAGCTTGTGGAGCGTTGCTCAGCCCACTCAGCTATGAGCTGAGCAATTCATCTTCCAGCTGATGAGTACAGCATCAGTTGTTCATCTTAAAGTTGATGAGTACAGCATCCTTTCTCAACCTTAGTTATACTGAGGCAACGAGAGAGATTTGGCAATCCGGTTAAATGGGGTGGTATAAGTTATAAGTAGGTGCAGTGTTACTGATACTATGCACCTAATTTCAAACTTATACCTCTGATACTCGACTCCGTATCTCGTATACCTTTCCACTGATATCGTGTTCTAATCTCAAACCCCATTTACTGTGATTACAATTATATGTCGTGGGATTCAAGAAGATCACATTCATCTTGGCTGTTATCAGCAGTTTCCTGCTGCTATCATTTTGGCTGTTATCGCCAATTTATTGCTGCTGTTATCTTGTTTGTTAGCACCCGTTTCCTGCTGCTATCTACGGAAACGCGATAACAATTGTTATCCGGGTCTGAATTGTTTTTTATTCTCTGTCCAGTTCACTCAATATATTTTTCTCAATGTTTCTCTCAATTTATTTATCTCTGTCTCTCTTTCACAATGTATTTCTCTCTCGATTTGGCTCTCCGTATTAATCCCGCTTTCTTAAGCTTTCTCTCTTTCTCTCTCTATCTCTCTCTTTCCCTCTCGATGTCTCTCCTCTCTCTCTCTCTCTATCATTTCCAGTGTTATTTCCACCCTAGAGACAGATGAGTAGCAATTCCCCGATGCGCCCAGCCTGAAACTGTCCAATCATCAACCACTTTGATCTAGTTGTTACCCACACGACCACACTACCACACTACCACACGACCACACGACCATACGGCTACAGAAACGATCAGAGCTGAGGCTTGAGCATGTGAAGTGCATCATTTGACAGCTCCAGTTTCCTTGAGATGTAATAGCCTCTCCCCCAGACGACCTGTCCAGGTCTCTGTCTCTGTCTCTCTGTCAAAACTGCAGAGTTGAGCACCGTAATATCGACGTTCCGTGACTAATAGGTTAGGTAGGATGCTTGGGTTTGAACCTTTCTGATTAGGCAAAACCAGTTTTTTTTATTTTTGTATGAAATTTAAAATCGTTAATCTAGTGAAGTATCCAAAAGCCATCCCCTGTTGTGTCACCTGAGGCTACATACTGTCGGACCTGTGATGGTTCGTGATGGTATCACTGTCGATTAGGTTATACTTCTATTATTTTAAGAGGACATCTTCCTCCTCCACCCACATGTACTGCTGTGCTCGCTGCTGCTCAGCTGGTCCCAGCACCCACATGTACTGCTGTGCTTACTGCTGCTCAGCTTGTCCCAGCACCCACATGTCTTAACTGGACACTTGAGAGACAGTAGAGATGTCCTATTCTTCCGCTGTTCAGTCAAGTGCTGGGAACGAGTCTGTTTACATGTTTTAAGAAAGAGAAACGACCCTCTGTGAGACAGCCAAGAGACTGTTATTGGTCTGGTTGAGATGTCGTAGTCGTCCCCCTCCCTTCCCCTATCTTTCCCCCCACTACCCCCTGACCCCAGCTGTTGGGGTTCGGACCCCGCTCTGACGTCATGTGGTGGGGTTCAGAGACTCGCGTGAAATTCTTTCATCTGGTCCTGCCTTGAATTATTCACACGCTCCCGACCCCTTCATACAACATGTTGGGTCCTGCCTAGCTCAGCTTGTGACGTCATCTCAGGGATCTTCATGCGTGTGAAAAGTGTTCCTCTCTCAGCTACCATCACTCCAAATGGTCCTCTCTCAGCTGCCATCTAAATACACAAGCACCCACGCTACCAACAGCCCATAATTCAGATTCTGAATTGCAAATCAGACTAATCAAACAAATATGAGTGGAAGCTGCAAGCAAAACACGCCCAGTCATGGATGCTTCTGCAGCTGCCAGTTAGTAAATATTGTTGACAGGAGGATAGTCTGGTGTTTGTGGGTGTATTGTGGTGTAGTCTGGTGTTTGTGGATGTATTGTGGTGTAGTCTGGTGCTTGTGGGGTGTAGACTGGTGTATTTCCCTCTAATTTACGTCACTATCTTTATGTTCATGTTCCTATCATGTCAATCATGTTCGTAACATAGCATGTATCATGATCTTGTCTATCATGTTAAAATCATGACCAGAAGATAAATATTTCTCAGGGTCTGCTCTCAAAAAACTAGTTTACGTTCTCGAATTATTGGATTCCTATCCGGATTGATCCTATTTTCTCAGAGACGAATGACCTTTGTAATCCGGTTTGGTGCGTTTGTGTCTCACAAGCAGATGAAGACAAACAGGCTGACTCAGACCCAAGCAGATTGGAGACCACAGCCGGTCAGACGCACGCACACACACACACATACACACATACACACACACATAGGAATCTGTACACCAGTTGATTGACAGTTGAGAGGCGGGACCAAAGAGCCAAAGCTCAACCCCCGCAAGCACAAATAGGTGAGTACAAATAGGTGAGTACACACACACACACACACACACACACACACACACACACACACACACACACACACAAATACACACACTTTCGTCATATTTTTTTCCAGAAGAAGAAATCAATAAAATCCCCTCACTGAAACGATCCAAGTGTGAGTGTGAATTAGAGTGTAAGCTTAACTTAAAGGTTATAAGTACGTGCATATCGAGCGAATGACTCTGTTAAGAGTTCTAGATAAGTTAGTAGTCACTCGGTCTGTTCTTATATTCCTATTATCTATATTGTCTAACTTTTTCTCTATTCTTAAACCCGTCTGAGGAACACACTTGTTTCTTATTGACAACTATAAGACAAGTAGAGACCCGTTTTTGTATTCCTTTTCTGTTTTATATAAGAAAACTACCCTCTGTCTTGGCGCTCAAACTTGTACCTGTATTACCAGTAATACCAGGAGGGTACAGTGGTACCAGTGGGGTACACAGTAGTACCAGGGGGTACAGTAGTACCAGGAGGGTACAGTGGTACCTGGGGGTACAGTGGTATCAGGGGTATACAGTAGTACCAGGAGGGTACACAGTAGTACCAGGGGTACACAGTAGCACCAAGGGTACACAGTAGTACCAGGGGTACACAGTAGTACCAGGGGTACACAGTAGTACCAGGGGTACACAGTAGTACCAGGGGTACACAGTGGCACCAAGGGTGCACAGTGGTACCATGGGTACACAGTGGTACCAGAGGGTACACAGTAGTACCAGGGGGATACACAGTAGTACCAGAGGTACACAGTAGTACCAGGTTTACACAGTAGCCCCAAGGGTACACAGTAGTACCAGGGGGTACACAGTAGCACCAGAGGGTACACAGTAGTACCAGGGGGTACAGTAATACCAGGGGGTACACAGTAGTACCAGGGGTACACAGTAGTACCAGGGGGTACAGTAATACCAGGGGTACACAGTAGTACCAGGGGTACACAGTAGTACCAGGGGGTACAGTAATACCAGGGGTACACAGTAGTACCAGGGGTACACAGTAGTACCAGGGGTACACAGTGGCACCAAGGGTGCACAGTGGTACCATGGGTACACAGTGGTACCAGAGGGTACACAGTAGTACCAGGGGGATACACAGTAGTACCAGAGGTACACAGTAGTACCAGGTTTACACAGTAGCCCCAAGGGTACACAGTAGTACCAGGGGGTACACAGTAGCACCAGAGGGTACACAGTAGTACCAGGGGGTACACAGTAGTACCAGGGTACACAGTAGTGCCAGGAGGTACACAGTAGCACCAAGGGTACACAGTAGTACCAGAGGTACACAGTAGCACCATGTACTACTGCGAACTTCGTGACACAATGATCTACTGTGAGGGACCTACTCACAAGGCTCAGTTGGGGTTCAGGAAAATATACATCCTGTATAATATAAAGTCCAGGTTGTATACTTCAAGAAAGTATACACAGCCTTCGTAATACACACGAACAACACCCCCCCCCCCCCCCCCCCTCTATTCCTACCCTGGAATCCTTTTAGTGTGGTTCAAAGAGATTTTGCTTCTCGCCTCTTGAACGGATTTAAAACTCCATCTCATATCTCTCTCTTCCAAAATACATATTGATGACCCTGTTATGATTATGTTTGCATCATCAGCTTCTCAAAGATACCTCACGTTTTCACCATTGAGATGGATGAAAACTGAGACCCAGAATTTAGTTCTTGTAAATATTAGAAACCTCATTCGATATTTCTCCACTGTCCTCCACCCTCTTCTACCTGAGTCCTTAAACCCAATCCTCCCCAAAACCACCAATCTCTAACCCCAATTTTTAAGCCCAGTTCATCACCTCAACTAAATCGTTCAGCAAATCCTCGATCTTTCAATCCAATCCTTCATCCTCATCTTTCATTCCAATCTGTCTCCCTAGTCCATCACCCCAATCCTTCACCCTTTTTCATCATCAGAATGCTACTCCCCAATCCCTCAATTGCAACTGTTGACCCCAACCCTTCACTGTAATCCCTAATCACATTCCCTCAACTGCAACTGCTGATCCCAACCCTTCACTGTAATCCCTAATCCCAATCCCCGACTCCAATCGCTCACCCCAGTTCCTCGCGCCCTGGAACCTGGAAACCTGATCGGAAGTGCCCCTTGAGTTCAACATGAGCGGCCATCTTCCCTTTCACGTTAGAAGAGGCCCTCTAAAGCGTGTAGAGGTCACTCTAGAGGCTCTAGGGAAGGTCACTCTAGAGGCTCTAGGGAAGGTCACTCTAGAGGCTCTAGGGAAGGTCACTCTAGAGGCTCTAGGGAAGGTCACTCTAGAGGCTCTAGGGAAGGTACTCACTTTTGTGTCCGTGCTAAGAGCCGCTCTAGAAGATCGGCCGTATAGTCGACGTCGGCTTGTTGAACGGCGTCCCCTTCTCGTCCTGTGGAAGGTGGATAGAGCTTGGTTAGTGTGAGAATAGTGGCGACCGGTTACGTGGTCAATATGAATAGTGGCGACCGGTTACGTGGTCAATATAAGTGCTGGGGCCAGATTCACGAAGCAGTTACGCAAGCGCTTACGAACCTGAACATCTTTTCTGAATCTTTGGCGGCTTTGTTTACAATTATTAAACAGTTAATGAGCTCCGAAGCACCAGGAGGCTGTTTATAACAATAACAACAGTTGATTGGGAAGTTTTCATGCTTGAAAACTGTTTAATAAATGTAACCAAAGCCGTCAAAGATTGAGAAAAGATGTACACGTTCGTAAAGTACTTGCGTAACTGCTTCGTGAATCTCGCCCCTAGTTAGAGATTCTATGTAGGGATTATCAGTGGCTTTTGGGTCCGAAGTTGGAACAAAAGCTCACTGGCTTTTGTTCCAATTTCCAATTTCACTGCCTGTTTGTCGGTAGTGGTTAAAGGTAACGGATTATTGTGGTTAGTGGTTGATTGGTGCTACCTTTCAGGTAATAGTTGTGATTAGCTCTAGATAGTGATTGGTTTAGTCACGGGTTAATTTGTTTGCAAGTTGGGTTTGAAATCATAGTTTAAGAGGATTAATGTCATTAGTTAAGGGGTTATAATGGACTTAGGGTGAAGGAAGTTATGAAGAAACTAGAGAAAGGGGGGGGCCTCTAATGGTAGTTTGGGTGGAGGTTGAGTGATGGTTGTGGTCAGAGGCTGGTAGAGTGGCAGTGCGTCAAAGGGGTAAGTAGTTGTGGTGGTGTTGGTGATTTGAGGTTAGTGATGGTGGTTAGCAGAGGAGGTAGTAGTGGTAGTTTGGAAGAACCACCCACTCAGTTCATCTGGTTTCAGTATCCCCAATTACAGATTTAACAATATCAATATCAACTATTACAGATTTAGCGATATCAACTATCACAGATTTAGCGATATCAACAATTACAGATTTAGCAATATCAACTATCACAGATTTAGCGATATCAACTATTACAGATTTAGCGATATCAACTATCACAGATTTAGCGATATCAAGTATCATAGACTTAATGCAAAACGTGAATGTTTTCCATTCGTGTTTGTGGAAAAAACTGATCATTCAGCAGAATCATAAGGAAGGTCCTTGTTTACTTTGTAAATCTTGACTATTAGTGAGCTGTCTTAATATGTCTAGGCGACTGGAATCATTCCATTACTTTTCATGTCCTTGACATGTCCGGGTCACGTCTGATTGGTCCGCTGAGTCACAGACCATGGTATTGATTGGCTTGTGTTGTCATTGATGATTGATGAAGCGTCGCTTATAGGTCATTGGTAAGATTATGATCATTGTCATTCGTGGATTGAATTACCTATCTGGATATTGGTTTTGATTGATGGCCAACGTGTACAGGCAGTTTTCCCTACCGGATTTTGTGTTTATGAGGTGATGAGGAGGTGAAAGGGGGTTAGGACGTGAATGGGGGGGGGGTCAAACAATCATTCTGAACTACATGTCAATGATATAAAAACCATTTCAACATTAGAGAAAATTTCCCTTGGCTCATAACTTTGTAACACATTCATATCCTATGTGTTAGGTTCGGGTAATTTAGCACATCAATTTTGTGACGTTGTTACAACTGGAGAGGACGTTGGCAAGGCCAAAATGACCGTCTGTTTGGCCTTGTCAACGTGGGTAAAGCAACCCGTGTCCTGGTCAACATATTGGACTTTTAACTCGAGAGATCTCAATTAAGTCCAACAGTCAGCCTGGTAGAGATTAACAGAAAGTTAAGTCTTATATATGGTTAATCTTTGAGTCTATAGGAAGAGCTTCGAGTCATCCTCGATGTGGAGCGATGAGGAGTTTTCCTCAAGTCATAAACCATTTTGAAACCTATTACTTTATTCATGAAGAATGAGGAGATGGAGGAAGAGGTGATTAGGAGGAGGAAGAGAAGAGAGAAGAGGGATATATGAAGAGCAAGTGTATCATGTGTGTGAATCAAAGAGCCGTCTACCTGTCTTGAATCAAATTGTGGTGGTAGTGGTGGTGGTAGTGATGGTGATAGTTGTGGTAGTGATGGTGATAGTGGTGGTAATGAGAGTGGAGGAGCTGTCTCACAAGTCTCTATAGTCCTCCTCTTAGAGAGGAAAAACATACGCATCACGGGCTGCATATAATGCTATCCTCGTCACTATAGCCTCAAGCATCTCTCAGAGCAGCTAAGATGTTGCCATGGAGACCAGGTGGGAGTTCTATTAATAGAAGCTTGAACTTAGCGTCTAACTTCAAGCTTATAATAAGCTTGAAGTCAGAACCCGCGTCTAACAAACATACAAGTTATATATATTTATATAGGATATAACACAAACATTTTATTCATTTTTAAAAATACTTGAAAGTTCGATTTATTCTACAAATAACATACAGGTTATACACGTTCACTCGATATACAAAATACATCCGTAACACACCACTACAGTATACTGCATTACTAATACATCTACGCTTTTTTATTTTCTTTTTCCAAGCTGCAGAAAAAAAATCTGGGTTTTTATTTATAGTACAATAAAACGCACGAGCCACAGAGCTCAGTTGGGGCTCTACACGAGCCACAGAGCTCAGTTGGGGTTCTACACGAGCCACAGAGCTCAGTTGGGGCTCTACACGAGCCACAGAGCTCAGTTGGGGCTCTACACGAACCACAGAGCTCAGTTGGGGCTCTACACGAGCCACAGAGCTCAGTTGGGGCTCTACACGAACCACAGAGCTCAGTTGGGGCTCTACACGAACCACAGAGCTCAGTTGGGGCTCTACACGAGCCACAGAGCTCAGTTGGGGCTCTACACGAGCCACAGAGCTCAGTTGGGGCTCTACACGAGCCACAGAATTCACACGTAGGCCTCTCAGCCCAGTTACGGAGCTCACTTGGGACTCTCTATATAAGAATTCCAGTCATTCAATCCCCCAATCACAAGGGTTTCTGGTGGTTCTCAAAAAAGAAAGATATTGACCAAACCATCAATAGCAGCAAAGATATTGACTAAACCATTAATACTAACAAAGATATAGACCACAGCATCAATATCAACGAACTCAACACCTCACGAAGTACTAAAATTCCCCTCCCTCCCTCCCTCCCCTTTTCCCTTTCCAATCGACAGCAACAAGTTTTTAATATGCTCGCTAATCAAAAATCAGGATTCGAATCATAAAGGCTCTATAGAACACCTCACCATAAAGAATCTAAAGGATGAAAGAGAACTGGGTTATCATAAACGGGTTCAGAATCAAAACAGATCCGAGCAGAGTACTGTAAACAGGAAGAGCATTGGATTCTCCTAAAGATTGGACTCGATCTAATTTATCCTTTGAATCGATTCAACACGATTTTGCTTCGTTACATTTTGTATTAATTGTAGTTTGCACGATCTTTATTTTTAGCAATGGATTTATTTTTTTGTAGGTTTAATACAGTAGGTAAACGCCAACTGCATCAAAACGACACATATTAAATGTCGCTAATGAAAACGAGATGAATACCTTGAATATTTCTCATTAAATCGACATGAATATGTAAAAAGATTCTAATCCAAATCCGACGACTTGGATTCAGGAAGGTACATTAAAGTCTTGTAGCGACGTTCCAATAATGTGACAAAAATACAGTTGCGAAGTCAAATTAATAATATCCAGAATGCCTTGCTTCCGAAAATATTATTATATGTGTTATCAACAACACAATCTTCCGTGACCTGAAAATATTTTAATGATTACAGAAGTATTAATAAGTATGATAACAAAATAATGAATCATTTTCACACAGGAGACGATTTTATTCCAAACCCTTCCCCCCCCCCCCCCCATCAGCTCCAAACACCTCAATCCCCCCTTCAACCCAAGCACCACAACCCCAGCCCCCCATCAACCCAAACACCACGACCCCAGCCCCCCATCAACCCAAACACCACGACCCCAGCCCCCCATCAACCCAAACACCACGACCCCAGCCCCCCTCCAACCCAAACACCACGACCCCAGCCCCCCATCAACCTAAACACCACGACCCCAGCCCCCCATCAACCCAAACACCACGACCCCAGCCCCCCATCAACCCAAACACCACGACCCCAGCCCCCCATCAACCCAAACACCACGACCCCAGCCCCCCATCAACCCAAACACCACGACCCCAGCCCCCCATCAACCCAAACACCACGACCCCAGCCCCCCATCAACCCAAACACCACGACCCCAGCCCCCCATCAACCCAAACACCACGACCCCAGCCCCCCAGCAACCCAAACACCACGACCCCAGCCCCCCATCAACCCAAACACCACGACCCCAGCCCCCCTCCAACCCAAACACCACGACCCCAGCCCCCCATCAACCCAAACACCACGACCCCAGCCCCCCATCAACCCAAACACCACGACCCCAGCCCCCCATCAACCCAAACACCACGACCCCATCCACCCTAAACCCAAACACCCCCCCCCCCCCATCCCTTCCTCTGGAGTCTCATATTCTCAACGGACCAACAAAGGCTTGAAGCAGCGTTCCAATAACCTCACGGAAGCTCGGCAATAAACATGAATTTACTGTATGTAGATTTTAACATACTCAAAATATTTTAATAACGGTTGCATTAAAAATAAAATATTGCATAGTTGCAAAGAAAAAAGTTATTTTTGTTTTTGTTTTTTTTAGCGAAGCGCACAAGGAACCGTCGACCCAGTTATTTTAATGTAAACATTTAGGATTTCTGGTCCTCCAGAGCTACCGCCGGAAGAATGTATCAATCCGGATTAATCCGGTAGGCAAAGCTAAACCGGAGTCACGTATTTACTCGGTTATTATATTAAAATCCGGGTGCTGTGTTCCAGCAATCCCAGCTATGCCCTGGAGGACGGGCGATAATATTTTATTGTATTGCAAGATAAACCGACTCCATGAGCTCCTGGCATGAACGCTTGAGCGCTGACAACTAACGCAGGCAACGAGGCTCTAACAACTGCTTAATATCGCGGGTAATTGGCTCTCCAACCCCAGGACGAGCGCTTCAGGGCTCAAAATGAGCACGTCAGGTCCCTGGAATGCATTAAGAAGTGATGTGGTGGAGGCAGACTCCATACACAGTTGCAAGTGTAGATATGATAGAGCCCAGTAGGCTCAGGACCCTGTGCACCAGTTGGTTGACAGTTGAGAGGCGGGACCAAAGAGCCAGAGCTCAACCCCCCCCCCCGGCAAGTACAACTAGGTAAGCACACAAGAGAAAGCCAGAGGAAACAGATCCAGGAAGAAAACAAAAATACAAAATAAATTTTGTCGCTTGCCAAAATGAGTTATCTGAGAGAAGCTGAATAAGTAGTGAGACGTCCACTAAGAAACGGAGGTTTCGAGAGAGATGTGTGAATTACCAGATTATTAGACTACACGAAAGAGCGAACCCATGAGGAATAATAAGGAAATAAGGCAAACATACAATAGAGGTTTCCATGATATTTTCTAAGCTGGAAACTCAGGTGAGTCACGAGATCTAAGTTACCCACTGACAAGAATCTATTGAAAGGCCCACCAACATTGCCGCCACACGAGACGTACCTTACCTTGAGGTTACCTTGAGGTGCTTCCGGGGCTTAGCGTCCCCGTGGCCCGGTCGTCGACCAGGCCTCCTGGTTGCTGGATTGATCAACCAGGACTGATCAACCAGGACTGATCAACCAGGATTGATCAACCAGGACTGATCAACCAGGACTGATCAACCAGGACAGATCAACCAGGACTGATCAACCAGGACTGATCAACCAGGTTTGATCAACCAGGACTGATCAACCAGGACTGATCAACGTAGTCATTAAACAACTAGAGGAACAGATGAGAGCCACACTTCATCTCACTATTCTAAAATATTCAGTGGATATTTTATGCAGCTCCCTTGCTATAAATTAAACTCATTAAAAGGGGGAATAGTTACCATACTATTGGAAAATGGCTAATGTGTTTCTGCTTATGCTTTCTTGATCAGACCACACACTAGAAGGTGAAGGGAC